GAAGAAGATTTTTGAAATTTTAGTCAATTTGACCCTTTTTGGCCCCGCCCCTCAGGCCCCTGGGGGCTTAGGACTAAACCGGCAACTATTTTTGTTGACCTTTGTCCATGGAAGGTCCCTGCAAAATTTCATTGAAATTGGTTCAGGGGTTTTGGAGAGGAAGTCGAAAATGTAAATTGTTTACGGACGGACGACGGACGACGGACGACGACGGACAAAAGGCGATCGTAATAGGTCACCTGAGACTTTGTCTCAGGTGACCTAAAAATTTAAGACCATGTGCATGATTCTCTGCAAAAAGATGTCATTGAATATTTACCATCGAATAGCATTGCCACTAAATAACACTACCAAATTCAGTTGGCATTCATATAGGGTATGAATGCCATGCATGGACCGATTGTTGACGTCATCATTATTATTATTATTATTCAATAATCAAGTATTGAACTGCTTTCAATTGTCATTCATAGGCAATATGAATTCCAACTGGACAAAGGCAAATCCAACATGGTGAATTTGCCTTTGTCCAGTTGGCATTCATATTACCTATGAATGCCAACTGAGAGCAGTTCAATGCTTAAATGGAATAAACACGTTGTATAATATCAAGGATTTACTCTACTTGTTAACTTATTCAAATAATTCAGAAATTTGAAATATTATAACAACTGATCTTTTCATAGGACTCATGGCTAGGAACTGCTCAATAGTTGGATTACAGGAATCATTAGCCATGCCAAAGCCATAACATAACTACTTGTGACAAAGCCATATAGAACAACCAACACAGCCACATTGAAGCCGTATAAAACACTAGTGAAACAGCTGTAAAAAGTGAGTAGGTTCTAGGAGTTACCCTGGGGTTTCCTGACTGCAGACCAATGTATGGACAGTGGTATACATTTCTTCTGGGGATGAGGACAATGAACAATGTTTGAGCTCATCATCAAGTGAGGTTCATAAATCAATAAACCAGTATTTTACATCCTAACATGTCCGCTCCATTATACCAGCGGCCCGGTGAATAGTTAAACAGTGCTACACATGAATGAGAAAAGTACAGCACAATTCAGTATACACGTTTACCTTAGATAGAAATATATATCATTAATCTTAAATTTTACCTATTATATTGGCATAATTATATCTTGAAAAGTCAAATCTGTCCCCTAAACATTTGCTGGAAACATATACGTAATGTGTATATATATAATTTAGGGGAACAACATGATCAATGGCAGCAGTATCAACAACCCTTCACTTCTTACAGAATCTTGTTGTGTACATGCAAATAATTCTTCAACATTTTCAGACAGATTCTTTTTAAAACTATGTCCATTTCAATTCATTCTTTTTTAGTCCTTCTTCTTATCCTTGATTTGTTTTTAAAATTGATGACATTAAATGTATTGATTATTGCCCTCCCTTACTTGAACTCTTTCACCCCTAAAGACATATTTGAACTCTTCCAATCAAAAGGTTGGAATAGTTCATTATGGAATTTCAGGGGTGAATGAGTTAAACTCTCCCTATTCAGTGATAAACAAGGTTCAAGTACTGTAAATGTAAGTATTTCAGCATCTTTTAGTCTGTCTCTTAATATACGCTAACTTGATATGTGGTAACTTAAAAAATACATATTTTCCATGTATAATTGAACAAGGAAAAAACTCAGTGCACATGTACCGATATACCTGATCTTCCCTTGAGCACTTAAATATAAATGTACTCATATAAATGTGTTTAAAGTAATCACATTTTACATCCTCCTCCAGATTTAAGCTCAACACTTGGGTCGTAGAATAGCTGTGGCCAAGTGGTCTGTAAAGGACGAGTTTAATCAGGAACAGCTATACAAGTGCTGCTTATTTCTGATCACCGGCCGGAGTCCATGATTGTTCAGCTTCCAGAACTACCGATATTTCAAACCTTTACTAATCTTACACATGAATTTTAAATAATCACAGTCTTTGAGCATGGTGCATGATTATGACCTCTAAATTAAATTAGCCATTTTCAACACCTTTAGAATCTTCTTTAGAACGATGGTTTGATCTTGGATGGAATGATCCATATAGTTTTAATTTTAACCTCACTTAATGTCAAGGGCCATATGCAGCGTTAACCAATATTGCTTACTTCACCCCTTCGTAAAACTTGTTTAAGTAAGGGTATGCTTAACAAAAGTCATAAAGTTATCGTATCTAAACAAGGCATCATAGATAATATGAATACCCTCCACTTCAATGTCATAAGAAATGCAAAGTGTAAAGCGAAAACAAGAGTCTAAGATAAATGTGTATCAAAAGTTCAAATCTATCTAATAGCAAAAATAGAAATGTTAATAATTTGAGTAGAATTGCTTACCTTTTATTAGTGTGCAAACCAGAATACAGGTATATTTATATAAATTCATTCAAATTTGTAGTTACAGTAACGTTGACCTACTTTTTGATTGCAGAAGGTCGAAACTGTACTAGTACTTACAAGTAGTGATGCTTGTGAGCATATGTGCGTGAAGGTTTGTGGCGATCACCCAAGAAATGAAGTCTGTACGATGGTGACATCAGAAACTCTATCAAGTTCTATTTATAGTACAAGTGACCTACTTTTTGGATTACAGAAGGTTGAAACGAAATTCATACAAGAGGTGATGTTTGTGAAAAGGTGCGTGAAGTTTCGTGGCGATCCAACAAGAAATGAAGTCTGTACTGTGGTGAAGTCTGTACAGTGGTGAAGTCTGTACTGTGGTGAAATCAGAAATTCTATCAGATTCTATTTATACACGTACATGTACGTGTACGAACTAACGAATGAACATATGGGTAGATCCCTATATGACCTCGAAGACTCATCTTGCTATATTGAATAATTTCTATTAATATAATCTAATGAACTGTACAATGTCTCAATGTCCAGACATTTTCAAATTCCCTATAATCACCAGATTCTATATCCATCCTATAAGGATGTCAGCGTAATACCAAGTATGGTACTTCATTAAAATACATTAGAGGGTATACGTACAGGTTAGGTGTACTTATATGTTATAGCATGTCTAGATGAATTTCCTTAAATGACCACATTTTTACACGATAACCGTCCCAATGGAGGAGGGTTTATTATATCTAAGCAGGGCTAATATGTGTACCAGTCACAGCTTCCACTTAAAACATATCCTGTACTGTATAATTAAAATTTCCCTGCCAACATATAATTACAAGGTCTAAATATTCACATTTATCCTAAAAATCTGGCTGAGCTGTGTCAACCAAAATAATACAAACACTGACTTCACACTTAATCTCTTTACATTTCCTGGGGTGTTTAATCAAGCAAAAGATTTTTGTCTTGTTTTCGTTATCTCAGAGTTACTTTCCAGTCAATTTAACCCCAACCAGATACAAAAATACTTTCCTTTACATACATTTATTTTGAAAATATTGGTACTTTTCTACCTGTACGACTGATTGCTGTACACTATTACAGTGTATATGACAAACTGTACAGCTTCTTATATAGACGAGTATATATACACAATTTTGTAAATTATACAGGGTGCTACATAAATAAAGTATACTGTTATTTATAAAAATAGGGCTTTCTGTTTTTTGCATTTTGACATAACAAAAGATAAAGGCTTGGTCAAAATGTAGATTTCAAGTCAGTCTGAGAAAAAGCTGTTATTACAAATACTTACAAGTGATCTCGGTTTGAGAATCTTGCAATCATTTCCGTTTTATATCAGATTTTAAATAAATTGTCACGATTGTTTGAAGTAGCTCACGAGAATCTTGATAAAATCAAAATTGAAAATTCTAAGTTAACCTCATCTTGTTTAATGTCCCATCAACAAGTTAAGGTTATGTAAGGACATAAAAAATTCTTAAGACTCGTTTTATGAATGTCATATGAAATAGAAACTCAAGCATAAAATCCTGTATTTATGAAATGAGATCACACCCCGTACATTAAGTATGGGTTCAAAAGGGGCTTCAGGCATCATCACTCCCGAGACAAATACGATGAATATGTTCAGGTTATATCACTTCACACCTACGGCCTTAGGTGACAATATCAATAGGTAACAATGGGTAACACGTATGTACTGTCATGTCTGTATGACGAGAAATTGAAGCTTATCACTTATCAGCCAGATGACACACAATGTAGACACTTACATGTACGTGTGCTCATGAATAGTCACTATTGTAAGTGTGTGTACAAGAGGGGACTCAACTCATACCCTGGTCTCTCAATATGACTTAAAAGTTGACAAAATATTAAAATTCTTCCGTTACTCTAATCCAAAGGCCTTTTATTGGAAATACTTGGTCTTTGCACAGAGTACAAGGTATGTAAAGCCAAAGGGTCAATGGTATGTGTCATACTGATGTACTCCGATCTCGAAGATGTAATAATTTGATTCATCCCTTTACTTGCTGTGTGACCGATCTAAACTTTACTCTGTACAATCCCCTGACAAAGTCCATAAAAGTATTTACGTAGAACTAAGGAGTCGTTGACCAGGCTCCTAGATTACACTTCAGACTGAACTTGCTATAGTAGATATGCAAAATTTGTAATCATCACTATTTTGATATCATCAGGGAGGGGTTTATGAGATATTTTCAACCTTTCTTAAACATACAGATGCATGGACACACACAGGGAGGGATGCACTGACAAAGTGATTGCCCTCATCACTCAGTGATGGTGGGGTAATAACAACTACATGTTAATTTAATTATGATGTACTGTCATATTTACCTCTCAGCGACCTTCCTTATCATAAATATGACCAGGCCTAAGTAGAGGGCCCATTGTATGTCACTGTACTGGGGATGGTGTATCCCATCGTCTTTATTTACGAAGTCGGCCCATGAATGTCCCGACCCCCCAAACCAGAACCACTCGCTCCAAAATGTTGTCCTCGCATAGTCATAGACCTCCATCATGAACATATATAGTTATTTCACAGGTGAATTTCACAAGGCAAGTCTCCAATCAAATATGAGACTTATTATTTCATCAAACATCTGCTACTTGAAATTAAGTCTAATACGACATTCAAATTCCATTCGCTGGTTCACAAAAAAGGAATGTATCAACATGTTGTCAGGCCCCACATGGCTATGGGTAAGATAAGTAACACATATGTATCACACGTTTAGTATTGTAGTCCTTCAGCGGTCAGGTGTTTGGATGATGTTAATAGCAGATCAAGAGGAATTAACGACTCAGGTCATTTGTGTTGGTCATCACACGTACAATATCCAGGACACAAAAAATGAACACAAATAAACAACATCACAGATTAGTATACTGAATGCTGAGCCTGAATTCTTCTCTCTGCTTTTGACTTTTCACTTCTAGCACTCCAAACAAACTGTTTTATCCTGTAAACGCCTTACATAGTTTGTGGTCACATACTTGGGTCCTACATCACAACACATGTCCGCCTCAAACTGTTATATCTTCCTCCCACATGGAGAGTTCACATCTGTACAACCCTGACCTTGACCTCTGCACTCCTATGGTATGTGTAGCTACTACAAATTATGAATCACTGGAGTCCTATAGCCCCCAGACATGTCTTTAGTAGTATACACTACTTGTTAATGGACCTGGCTAAGACCAAGTGATCCAGAGTTTCAGGGATAGCAGCAGTGTTGTAGGGAGGGAACAGCTTGACTTCCTGTCTGTATCAGCAGTGTCATACATGAGGAGGGAACAGGTGGGCAGTATGTAGCTACCAAAAATAGGGGTAAAGTAAATATGTTTGTCGTTCTGTTGATGTACAATTTTATATGATTTGTGGCTGAAGAAAAGAGGAAATTTCATCAGGACATCAAATGTTTACCTACAGTGAATTACTTTGACAAGAAGAGACATTTCCATCCTTCGAGGGGAACATTAAAATTGCGACCACATTTGGAAACTTTAAAATTTGTAAACAGGATACTGCTGTATAAAAACTTGAGTTTCTAACAGATGAAATATTTGTCTCCCACTCCTTAAGGTTTCCATGTATTCAGCCAAGCATAGCCAAGCATAGGTAATAATAAGTAAGATCAATAAAGTCGACACATTCTTGAGTCCTGGAGATGCCACATGCTAAACCACTAAATCTTTCTCCTTCAACAAATATCTCCAGGGGGAAACCACATTATACAAAAAGAATGTACAGGTACTCATTGGTCAACTGGTGGAAAAAAGGTCTTTTGACCATCCATTTACATGGTTTCTCTGTTTTAATTGGTGGGATTAAATTGAGAAGAGGGGCATAAACTAGCTATTTATTGAATTTAAACCAAACACCAGACTGAATTTGACTATGTTTGTATTTTATATCACTAAAGCCTTCGAGCTATTTCATTTTCATGATAACACAGGTGAAACATCAATATCCCCCCCTACTCGAACTAAAGCTTATAGCTTACGGCATTAAGCCATGCACAGATACAAGTAGGTAGGTCTGGGACATTTCCGATCAAACTTGATCCTCCAGCAAAAGTGTAAAACACCAATTTATTAGAACTGTACGGATCGACACTCTACAGTCAGTAAACCTTTAACATCACCCCACAGTGATCACCTGCTAGTGACAATGGTCCCAAGTTTCCAGCCCCAGCTGTCACACTCGTTTGTACAGGTACATGTGTGACATCAGTGAACCCAGGTATGTGTGCGATACCTGTGTGGCCTGTAAATAAATGTGTTGTGCATGTGAACCAAAGTATATGTGTCATACCATGTTCAAAGGTACAGTATCATGAGTATGCCAAATTGTCAGTAGTGCAGGCCCTGCAGGGAGAGGCAATGATGAAATAGTGTACAATAGCCTGTGTCAAATTGTCAGTAGTGCAGGCCCTGCAGGGAGAGGCAATGATGAAATAGTGTACAATAGCCTGTGTCCAAGTGTCAAGTAGGATTCTGCAGTAAAATATTGTTCAATGTGTGTCAATGTCATGTCTGTTGTAATAAATAATCCTTAGTGTGTTAGTGTATCAATATGTTCAGGTAGGATCCCCGTCTCATTGAATGAAAAGCAATTGAGAAGTTGTCTGGATTTTTTTCATACATAAAGTAATCTCCCTTTAGTTTTCGTATGTATATAACTGAGCACAGATGGGCCAGGGGTACTACGTATGCCCATGACCAGGTATATATATAGCATCAGCGACAGTACAATGATGGGAGGTCCAGGGTTTGAATCATGGTCTTGGTCTGTTGCCTCTTAAAATTTAAACTCATGGTGAACATTTTTGTTTTGTTAAATTCATCTTGATCATTTTTTCAAAAATGTTCTGCAAGATATGTTTTTTCTTTTCAAAGATGATTATTAAAGTTTTATTTATAACAGAAAAAAGTTTCCAATACATAATAACAACTATTGGCAGTGGTGCAGGAATCCTTACTAAATTGTCGTGTTTTTATATTGGATGTTCAGGCGTAATACACGTAGCCCTCTGTTTTTTTTGCTGGACTGGGAGTGCAATTAGTCAATTCAAGCTTTCAATAATTCTTAAGGACATTTTGTAGTGCTGTGGAGGATTTGTACTTTTAACCTTTAGGCCATTTTAGGAATTAGACAAACAACACATACAGATCAGAATTACTGATTCATAGAGTGATATGTGATTATTTTTGAATTCAATTAGCAAATGAAAAAAAAATCCATGACACAAAAACTGCTCCTCCCCACCCTGCTCTGTCCTTTAGGCCTCCTCCTTACTTTTTACTAATATCCTTAATTGTCTACTGTTCGATCTAAAACCTACACAATACTTTATTATGTCAATAGCTAAGTACAAGTGGAATATTAATGGTATAAAATTCTCCCTTGTCTTGTTTCAGTCTGGTGATTTTAAACAAGTCTGGTTTTAACAAACAAGACTTTCATACAGATACAAAGCTTATCTTTTATTGATGTCCTTGCAATATGTCCCTGGGAGCATTCTTGTTCTGGATGGTCTGGTATGTGGCTATGTGTACTGAGACTTAGTTTTCATTGTCAAACAATTTTCTGTTCATTTGCTGAACCAATGAACAGTAACATGCATGTACATATATGACATTTCTGGTTCACTTGGGTGGGTACATTTTGTACCAGTATTAAGATTTAAACATCATGACACTTCTAGTTCACTTGGTGTAACGATCTTGACAAAGGACATTATGATCATGACATTTCTGGTTCACTTGGTGTACCAATGTGTAAACAGTAACATCATGATATTTCCAGTTCACTTGGTGGACCAATGTGTAAATAGTAACATCATGATATTTCAGGTTCACTTGGTGTACCTATGTGTAAACAGTAACATTATGATATTTCCAGTTCACTTGGTGTACCATTGTGTAAACAGTAACATCATGATATTTCCGGTTCACTTGGTGTACCAATGCGTAAACAGTAACATCATGATATTTCCTGTTCACTTGGTGTACCAATGTGTAAACAGTAACATCATGATATTTACAGTTCACTTGGTGTACCAATGTGTAAACATTAACATCATGACATTGTATTTACATTCTGTATGCTTAGACCCATTGACAAAAATTACATTCATAAATGCATAACACAGCCGAGGTGTTCATGGAATCTCAGCACGTGGGAACTGATAGTAACCTGATCACACTGCGTAGTAATACACTACAAAAATTACTCACTCGGAACGACCGACCTAGATGCTTAATTCTTACATCTTAAAATATTATTGAACTGTGCTTGGTGAAATATTCACGTATTCACGTGTCCTGTGCTACAAATAAACATTGAATATGGAACTACATTTTGTTGTGTTATTGTTGTTGATGGTTGCTAAGATCTCTCACGATAGTGTCACATTTCCCCGCGAAAAAACACTGTTCTCGCCACTGCGTTGCACCCGTGTATAAGCAGGAACAAACCCTGTTTATTTGTTTTATTCGTTGTTATATCGATCCACTGAAAGGATTCGTCAATGTAAATATAAGGAATGATATTTATTTTTTCAACATTTATGAGGTCATAACAACAATGGGTTTTTGGACATATTTTACATGAATCGCTAACGCGATTCATTCAATATGTCCATAAACCCATTGTTGTTATGACCTCATAAATGTTGAAAAAATAAAAATCATTCCTTAAACGGTTCACTTGGTGTACCAATGTGTAAACAGTAAAATCATGATATTTCCAGTTCACTTGGTGTACCAATGCGTAAACAGTAACATCATGACATTATGGTTCACTTGGGGTACCAATGTGTAATCAGTAACATCATGATATTTCCGGTTCACTTGGTTTACCAATGTGTAAACAGTAACATCATGATATATCCGGTTCACTTGGTGTACCAATGTGTAAACAGTAACATCATGAGATTTCCGGTTCACTTGGTGTACCAATGTGTAAAAAGTAACATCATGATATTTCCAGTTCACTTGGTGTACAAATGTGTAAACAGTAACATCATGATATTTCCGATTCACTTGCAATTGGTGTACCAATGTGTAAACAGTAACATCATGAGATTTCCGGTTCACTTGGTGTACCAATGTGTAAAAAGTAACATCATGATATTTCCAGTTCACTTGGTGTACCTATGTGTAAACAGTAACATCATGATATTTCCGGTTAACTTGGTGTACCAATGTGTAAACAGAAACATCATGACATTATGGTTCACTTGGTGTACCAATGTGTAATCAGTAACATCATGATATTTACGGTTCACTTGGTGTACCAATGTGTAAACAGAAACATCATGACATTATGGTTCACTTGGTGTACCAATGTGTAAACAGTATCATCATGATATTTCCGGTTCACTTGGTGTACCGATCTTGACAAAGGACATTATGATCATGACATTTCTGGTTCACTTGGTGTACCAATGTGTAAACAGTATCATCATGATATTTCCGGTTCACTTGGTGTACCAATGTGTAAACAGTAACATCATGATATTTCCGGTTCACTTGGTGTACCATTGTGTAAACAGTAACATCTTGATATTTCCGGTTCACTTGGTGTACCAATGTGTAAACAGTAACATCTTGAGATTTCTGGTTCACTTGGTGTACCAATGTGTAAATAGTAACATCATGACATTTCTGGTTCACTTGGTGTACCAATGTGTAAACAGTAACATCATGACATTATGGTTCACTTGGTGTACCAATGTGTAAACAGTAACATCATGACATTTCTGGTTCACTTGGTGTACCAATGTGTAAACAGTAACATAATGACATTTTTGTTCACTAGGTCAGAAATTCAAAAAACAAAAACAGTTCAATTCAAAACATATCTTTCAAATATCTATCTCAAATCTGCCTTCCATTATATTGATCAGAGGATTCTTCCCAACACATACATGTATATTCATTTGATATGAATCATGAAAAGATCAAATCAGTGCACATGGTAATACTTAAGTATGGAAAACATACAAAATCAATGGAATTAATAAACAAATGATACACAGCTAGTGAACTGTTTTCATTCATAACAAGACATGATTCACTATTACACTGGTGTAACAATATTCATTAACATGTGACACTGTAGCTGATAACTCTCAAGATTCGTTATTCACAAAGTGACAGTGTTTGAATTAGCATAATTAATTCACCAGAGTTGCCCACAACCAAACGTTCAGCTGTGCCCCGACATCCCCCAATGAAATTTCCTGTAACCAAATTGCAAACTG